ACCCATCAATTCCTCCTATGATTTTTTAATTTATGCAGTAACTAATTTTCTACAGTTACTAAATTTCTAAATTACAGTCACTAAATTTCTACCATTTTTCCCTCAGTGTCCCTTATATACTAGTAGAGCATCTAACAACTCCTTGAAATTCTCTTTCAAACAATGTCTCTGTACCATCTCTGGTCAACAGAGCCACGCAACGGGCATGTTACGGTTTCAGCTTACTGCCTCTAACTCTTTCACTGGTACATCGCGCTTCCACATCCGCTATTTTTCCCTGTTATGTTTTGTCACTGACTTAGACCATGTGTTCAGGGCCAGGAACCAGCTTTTTGTTAGGTCAACAAGGGCTTATAGGAATGCTTACTGATTCAGTACTGCAATAAAAATAATAAGCATTAAATGATAGAAAGGTTGTAATCATAGTAATGGCAAAGTACAGAACTGGAGAGGATCCTACAAAACAAGTGAAAAAAAAAAAAGTGGAAACTCAAGAAGCAGAATAAACAAAAAAGGACACTGAAATGAAGAAAAAAATCCAAGAGAAAAATGTAAACAGGAACAGATGGGAAGTAGCAAAATAAGAAGGTGGCAGAAAATTTTGCAGAAAAAGATAGGAGAGGGGGAGAAAAAGCAAGAGAAATGCTCAAAGATGGAAAAAACACTAAGAAATATGTAGTTCTGGCACTTCTTACTCGGACAAAATTTTCTGCTACCTTTCCTGTGAAAGGTTAGGAATCTGCCTTTGAACTCCTCATACAGACAAAATTAATGAAATTCAGCTGAGGAAGGTAAATGCATGTCATAAGCATTGTTAATCTTTGGGGAACTTCTAGCATTAGTATTAGAAAAAAACCCCTTTGTTTCCATGTATAGGTTTATAGACTTAGCATATTAATTGCTTTAAAAATGTATTTGAGGCTGAAAAGTCGAGTTTGCTGGTGATACGGGGTGAAAAACAAAATAAAGACCAGAGGTTCTTTTGAAGAGTTGCAGCAAGATTTCATACTATTATCAGATGATTAAATGGTGAATGAAAGTCATGTAAATATGGGTAAAGGTAACGCACGTGACAAAAACACACTGATGGATACTGAAGTAGCTGGTACTGTTCAGGAACTTCAACAGGCAAGCCCATAAAAATGAAAACTCAGTGCTGAGTAGCCACTAAAAAGGAGACAGAATTTAGGAATTATTAGGAAAATACTAAAAAAAGAAATGAGAACATAGTTTTGCTGGTAGATGTTCTTGGTGTGCTCACATTTTGAATACTCGATGCAGTTCAGTTCTCCCCTCTCAAAGAAGAGCGGAGAATAGTGATAAGTCTGGTTGAATATATGGGATGGTTTGAATATGAAGAACAATTAAATAGACCATGTTTTTTCTACATAGACAAAAGACAGATAGGTGAAGAATATGATAGTAACATGAGTGGCAAAGGAGAAGAACAGAAAATGGTTGCTCACTGTGTCTTCTCATCCAACAGCTAGGTGTCATCAAATAAAACTAAAAATAAAACTTTCTCCCATTCAGAACTAGTACATTCAAAACAGACAAAAGGAGTCACTTTTTTCCATAACCCATAGGCTGGGAAACATAATGTCATGTTTGGTGCAAAAAAAATTATCCAGTTTCAAACAGCAATTGGAGAAATCAATGGAATAACAAATCGTTAAGAGTTGTAACATGCAAGGATACCACCATTAGCTGGTGGTAAGCTACAAATCCTTAGATTTTGGGATATTTTTGGGAAGCATTTTGCTCTGGTCTGTGCTCCTCCCTGTGAACTTACTCGGCCAGCATTGGAGATACTGGGTTGGGTGGTCCTTTAATCTGACTCTTTATTGCTGGTTTTATATTCTCACATTTTCAGCACAGCCTTTACGATACAGTCTTTACTTATTTACATCATCTCTGTCAAGGGTGTGCAGGCAGATGGATAGTGGTTTACACTAAGTGATTGGGTGCACTGGGAATGTAAAGTGAATCAGCTTGAAAAACAACATTCTAATGGCCCTAGGAGTGTGTCACCCAGAGGGATGTTACGAGATTTAATGGCCAATATGGATCTGCCTATGGAACAGGTGATGGAGAGGGACCACATCTAGTGTCGCCAGCCAGCAAGAGGAGTGTATTCCACCTCACTGCAATGTTCCTATAACTTGTGGTGAGGGAGATGTGGGATGTTCCACCAGAGCCAAAGCCACCTCTCTACAGGGCTGATTAGCACTGCAGAGCGGCTCCTTGTGTGCAGGCTGTGTTGCCTGTCACGGGTCACAGTGGTGCTGGCAGCAGCGGGACTTCGGCTGTGACGCGGGCTGACGGTGTGAGGAACTGATGGCACTGAAGGTGGGAAAAGGGGAAAGTAGTGGGCCAACTCAAGGCTAAACTAGCAATGCAGTCACAGGAGCAACTAGCAGTCAAAAGATGTGAATGGGGAGCGCGGGGAAGTCCCTGTGGGTGAAAATTTTCAAAGACGGTGGCAGGGATGTGCTGGCTGAGGCTGCAATTCCTAAGTAAGGATGTGAAGTCAGCAAAATGGAGGCCAGGGAGCAAAGAGTAAAACAGGGTGGGTTGCTTATTCAGGGTTGTGGTGGGGAGGGAATATAAAATAAAGCTGGCAGGGCTGTTGCAGGGTCCCTGTTGAGCAGCCCCATGCCTGATCAATGCAGTCTGAAGCAGGACAGACCACACATCCCCAACAGGCTTGCTTTTTTCCTGCAGGATTCCTGCCTCCCTCAATGCAGAGGAAGAACAGTGGTTACCCACTGAATAGCTATTCATTATGTTGTTTCTTTCTCTTTGTTCTGCGCAAAGCTTGTACCTGTACCTTTTTCAGTGCAGTCCAGTTAGACCCCTTTTGAAAAGAGAAGTATGATTTTTCTCATGGGTGTGTGTGATGGTTACAAGGATAGCCATCTTCATTAATACTTATCTTCACAAAATCTCTTTGAGGCTAAATTCTGCCTTCCCCTTACAGAAGTGGTTCTAGGGCACAAGGGAAGAATAAAATTGGAGTTAATGTTGGGTGCTTGATTTAAGAAAGCTGGAAGGTAATTCTTCAGAGAATTCAGCATGATACCTCACAGTGCATGTTGACAGTGTGTCCACTGGCATGGGCAGCAGATCCAACTGCCATGTACTTCTGCACATTAGGACCATAAGTCACTTTCATTGAGAAAAAGAGGCAGTGAAATTCTGAACAGATGTGAAATGGTGTTTCAGTGTATTCTCCAGCATACCACGTAGCTGCACTGAGTGTGCAAAGCTGTTCTTACTATTGCCATAATCCCCTGTCCCACCCACTTCACGTTTCCTGGCTCACAGGCAATGCTGTCCCTCCCTACACAGCCCAATTCAAATCCACAGTGAGTTGTTCTCTGAAGCTGGAGCAAGGGCTGCATCACTGGGCATACGCACACAGAAGCTAAATGAAAGGTTTCGGGGCAACATTAATTCTGTTATTCTTTAAGTTTTTGACTTAGCAACTCTTTTAAAAAAAATGTTTCCCAGTTTTACTAAAATTTTCCCGGCTGGGTGATTCTATCAGAATCAGCAACATACTGACTTATTTCTGTCATCAGGTTGTCGTTTCAGTCTCACGCAGAAACTCCTGCCTGTGCCTCAGGCTCCCCTCTCTCCTCGTTCCCTCAGCTTGTTCACAATACCCATTCCAGTCATCTCCCCACCCTCAGATTCGTCTCATTCGTTTTCCCTCTCTTTCCCATATTCCTTAATTCTGATTCCTCGTCTCTGTACCTTTGCCTCAGTAATTTGTCTAGCCACAATGACCCATCGTGCAAACCATCTCTTCTGCCCATGGCTTGTGGTTCCTTTCATGCGTTTTCCTCAACAATTCCTAATCCTAGTTTGTTTCCACCACCAGTAGCTCCTAACGAAATCTCCTTGCCAAGCCAGTCCCTCCTCTTCTTTTGCATCTTTCTTGCCACACCCTTAATCCTGAACTTGCTTTTTTTTTGATACCTACTTCTCCAAAGCATTTATAGAATCTTTATTTTCCATTCAACTTTCATTTTGCAAAGTTAAACAAGATGTTCACCATCAAATACCAGTATCAGTGTAAGAGAGAAAGGTTATAATTCATCATGAGCAAAATTAGACTGGGAACTAGAAGGCTTTTGGCTATGCACAGAGTGAAATTCTGTAACAGCCTTTCAGAGAGAAGTGAAAAGAGGTATCCTCGATGGTTTTCGTCTGTGGCTGTAAGGAAGTTTTATCATGCTCAGGGATGACAGTGTCTTTGGAATTTTAGCTATTAATCTCTAATAAATTCCTAGTGAGCATACGTAAAAATAGATATTGCATAAGCTTATGAATTGTTCATCTTTAGGGGTCTATTGATCAGGAAGGCAATAGGAGTATCCTGGATACAAAACTCATGTCTCTGCCAAATTTTGAGTTGCTGTTTCAAACCAGATAAGGAGCAGATATCTCTGTCAAAGAAGTGTCTCTATCTCTAGATATATATTAATGTAAAGAAAATAATCTTTTTTTTTTTTTTTTCCCTTCTTAGCTTTGTTCAGGCTTGCAGAATCACAAAATTGGTGAGGCTGGAAGACCCCCGGAGACTGTCTAGTCCAAACCTCCTTGTTTTGCTGAACTTCACAAGATTCCTGTTTGCCCATTTCTCCAGCCTGTTGAAGTCTCTCTGAATGGCAGCACAACCAACTGGTGTAGCAATGACTTCTCCTAATTTGTATGGCTCAGAAACCTGCTGAAGGGGCACTCTGCCCCATCATCCAAGTCTTTAATGAAGAGGTTAAACAGTACCGGACCCTGTATTGACCCCTGGGGTCCAGTACTAGTGACTGGACTTCATGCCACTCATTGCAAGCCTCTGCACCTCTCAGCAGGTCAGTTTTTAACCCATTTCATTGTCCACTTATCTAGGCCACACTGCAGCAGTTTATGTATGAGGATGTTAAGGGAGACAGTGCTGAAAGGCTTTACTAAGTCGAGATAAACAACATCCCCATCACCATTGAAGGCTATCAGGTTGTTCAGGCATGATTTCTGCTGACTGTTCGCAATAACCCTCTTGTCCATCATATGTTTCAAATGTTTTTTCAGGATTGTTTGCTTCATCATCTTCCCAGGGATCAAGGTGATGCTGCCTGGACTGCAGTTCCACAGATTCTCCTTCTTGCTCTTCTTGAAGATGAGTGACAGGAAAGGGCCTGTTCTCATGACTTTTCAAAGATTATTGAAAGTGGCCTCATCACGGCTTTAGCCCTCAGCACTCATAGGGTACATCTCACTAGGTCCCATGGACTCTACGTCCAGATTGTTTAAATGTTCCCTAACCTGATCCTCATTTCTGACTGAAATTTTGCAAGACATTCAGCCAAAGACCAAAGCCTTCACATCAAACATAGTTTGTCAAACTGCAACTAACTGAAATCTGGTGCTTTGGATAGAAGATGGCCTGTGATAAGTGATGCTATCAGTACACGGTGTGTATGCAAGTGCATTACATTGTTCTTAACCCATTAAAGACAGTATTCAGTCCATGTACTTTTACCATTTAATGGTTAAGTATGTAATTAAGAAATAGTTGTTTACATTCTCTCTATAGTTAATGGAGAAAGACAGGCATCTCGAGTTGACTCATCCCACTTATTTTGGATTAATTCTACCCTTGGTGTCCTAGGGAATGACAATTTACTATCTTCTAATTCTCTAAATCATATACCATGTCTTTAAGGGTCAATTCTACCCAATTAAACTTCAAGCACAAAATACTCTTTCAGTTTTATTGAGAACAAGATTTCAGTATACATGTATAATTTTTCCAGCTGTATTGTCAAAGGCTCAAATTCTTCCTTGCTTTCATCAGGGACGTGGATTAGGAATACGGCACTAATTCTTTCTGAGATTTTCTTGGTCAGGTGTAGAACAAGGTGGAAAGCTATGAATTTGAAAGGTAAAATAAATGCTATCACAACTGAATAGACAGCAGTTGCACCTTTTCTGACACAGACAATGTAGTGCCTACCAAATGTCAGAATTTACTGTGAACTAGATCATGACAATGGGACACTGAAGAGCAGGGCCATCTAGAAGATGGACTGAAGTTTGGTTTATCTGCTTGGATAAAATTCCAACCTGGGAAGTTCCACAACACTGCAGAAATGAGAGATTCTCCCAGGTTCCTGCAGAGATCCTGTGTTTGTAGCCATTCCCCAAGTCTCTCAGAAAGCAGCGGGAATGTGCCAGCACACCTTCTATCTAAGAAGACGCAACGGTGGATGCTGAATCTTGAGATCATATGCGCTTTCCTGCAGAGCTAATCCTTGCAAAATTTACCAGCAGACCGAACTAATCTAAGTGGTCCTGGCATACAGCAAAAATTGATGAGGCATGAGCTGCAACAACTCCAGAAACAATCCTATCAGACAGTGGACACCTGCATGTAATTTCCTTTGCAAGTGTAGTATTTTCAGCTGTATTATGTCTGCAGCATATTTAGACAACCCACATGTTGGCTAAACTGACCAACATACTGGGAGGTCTTATATGGTCCTACATGATCCCTTACAGAGAGGATTTAAAAGAAGTTATATATGTGTATTTAGCTTTTTGTTTAGCAGACAAATAAGCACTACCAACAAGACTGCACTCAAGGGTCTGTGAATGTGCCTCCATGGCTCTCCTGGAAAATAAATTAGTTGTAAAATAATAGAACAATAAAAAATGGATGGAGAACTTTGCAGCAAATTAGCAGTTATCTGTCAAAAATTCCTACTCTCCCTCCCCTACAAGGCTAAATGGGGCATGGATTGTCACAGAGAGGAGTTTCAAAGAATTTTTTGTAAGAAAGATACTGCATGTTTCTTTTGGAATGTATAACTCCATACCCTACCAAATAAATAAAAGAGAGAAACAAACATACTGACTGAGGATCACAATAAAAGCAAAGTAATGGACATTTTGCTTAAGCCTGCACATCACAGCTTCTTTGAAATTTGATCATTCTGAAAGACTGCATTAGTTATTATACTGTGCTATATTAGCTACCATTCTAATTATGTATTGAGAACTATTTTCTCTTGTAGGAAATACAGAAGATTTCATATGATAATACGGTGCTGTTTTATTATCTGTGTTTTCAAGGTACTTCCATGGTGATGTTTTAGGTATTTAATGTTCTTTTCTTGATGCCTGCATGAAACCATGTTTGAACTACATATAATGGCAGCCATATGTGAGTGCACCCTTCTTCTCACTGTCCTCCCTTCAGTGAACTTTGAGGTCTGAAGATTATGTGGGATTGTATCATTGTATTGCTGAAGTGACTAAAGAGCCTTTCTTCACTCTGCCCTGCCCTATGTTCTTGCTTCTTTTTTTTTTTTTTAATAAATAATACAACAAATGTTGACAGAAGAAAATTTAGGCTCAGTTCAGGAAAATCCCCTAGTTGCATGAAAGCACGTTGGGATACGCTTCACATGAGGTATTTCTTTGATGATATAAAGTTATTGGCAGGTATGTTTGGGGTGAATGCGTTCAGAATGATACTTCACCTTAGGGATTACCAACTCTTGGACTTGCCTTTTCCAGTTGCGTAGAACTGATCTCATATTAAAGAAGTGCAGCTAGTTCATCATAGATGCAGCTAAGAGTCTGTCCTATAAATCTAATCTTTCTAATCAGATAATCTGATAAATGTCCTTGCTGGAAGTGCAGGGGAATGCTGGGTGGAAGGGAACAGCTGGAATCCTTTTAAAGTCTAATTGCCTCATGTGCCCCATTATTTTCATTTATGATATAGCCAACAATCGGACGTGTAGTACGTAGGCCACCTTTTAACATCAGTTTAGACCTGCTAGGAAAGGGAAGGAGGGTCATTAATCCTCGACTGCATTTATGTGCATAGTACCCCACAATCAAGCAAGCCTGCTCACCATTATTCTAACAATGCTAATTGGGAGGAGTTCAGTAGAAGTGTCTGGTATCCTCCGAGGTCCAGCTGGTATCCAATTTCCAGTAGAGTTTGCTAAGAAACATGAAGGTCAAGTAACTTCTCCAAGGTTACACTGTAAGTGGCTCAGCGGGGATTAGGACCCAGATTGTCTTTGCTCCTAATCTTTTGCCTTATTAATCACTGTAGTCTCTTTCTGCAAATACCTAACAAGTTCATATTTGTAGATTTACAAACACAATGTTATGGCCAAACTCACTTAATTTGGGGGAATAGATTTCATGAGAGGGGAGATAATGAAATAGCATTAGCCAAACTAACTCGTAACTGAAAACAGAAAATAATTAAGACTGGACTTTGCTCACGGAGCTATTATTTTAGTGGCAATGTTGTATTTCTCTTCTTGATCTCGTTTCTCAAAACTGCGCATATCTGGCCACTCTCCCTTATCCACTGCCAATACATAAACTATTGAGGAGCACGATATTTCCTGAACTTTTTGGAGTCTGTATTTACCTTTAGTATATCTATCTCAAAAGAAACTGCCTGACTGGCAAACCAGAAACAGTAACAAGGTGGCTGCCACATGGTTTATTTGTCCTTTTGTAAAACTCTGTGACGCAAATACTGCAGCATTCAGCATTATAAAGCTGTTATAATGTAGTTGTTTTACTCATCTCTTGTGTGGCATGTGGTACTCTATCTTTAAGAGGAAAACCAGCAACAGAGTTTTTAGTTAGGATGAGGAAAACCCCTGAATTTCCATATCTCTAACTGAAAACCATGGTCAGTATTACAGAGCATGAAACAGTTTATAGTGCCAGCTGGTTTTAATTAAAGGCTTAGTTTCCCCAATACAAAGACACTTCATTACAAACCAACAAACATGTTCACACCAGCAGTCTGCTCTGTTTCTGTAAACAGGAACGGTTACAATGCGCATGTCTGGAGAAGTGCTTGGAAAGCCTCGTGGGGCACGGAACTAAAATAATAGCTAACACATCTCACATGGATTAAGGAGCCAGAAAAACAAAAATGTCTTTATTTAGCCTGTTGTTAAACTACATCACCATAGTGTAACTGATCTCCTGCCATTAGGCAGTGAAATCCAAAGCCACGGGGCACAATTAAAAGGCAACCTGGCACCTGCTGTCTCCAATACACCTTCTGAAATAGCTAGAAGGAGACTACAAGTCTCATCAAGGGATTGAGGATGGTATATGAAGGATTCTCCATGGTAGGTTCCTACTTCAAATATACGCCAGTGCTATATGGGCTGGACTCCTTTACAGAAGGAGTTTGATCTCTATCTCTGCTCTTCAGGAGTTACCACTTGATATTAATAATCTCAGCAAAAGTGCCAAAGATGAATGAATATGGAAATGGGACTCATTTGCAATATGGTTACAGTTAATTAAATGCAATGACATAGTTGTGGGGCTACGCAGAGAAACTTTTGTTGTGCTGCTGCCTTTGCCAGACCTGAAGTGCAGCAGAGCATCCACTAGCTAAAGATTCAAAGGCAAGATGGCTCAAAATTTAGGAATTGTTCACTATATTAAACCAACAGATTATTAGATTTTAGTCTAAGAATAATGCTTTAAAATCCATTTGAAACCTCATAGGGAGCCAATGAAGTAGATTAGAACTGGATAAAACTGGAGAGATTTCTGTCAGTGTCTACCTTGATACCATGATGAGATATTGGATAAGCCATGGACTTTTTCAGAGCAATTTCTGGAAGACCCAGATAAAATTCAGCACGTGGTGGTACAGCAAATGTACAAAAAAGTACAAAGGTATCTGAGGAAAAGAAAGGAATTTAGTTTCCCATTAGATTCTAGATTCAAGGTTGGTGGGGATTTGTGAGGAGAGGTTTATCAGCAGTGACTGCAATGGAAGTTACCATTGTTCAAGCAGCAAGGAGGAAACAAGCTGTGTCTAATTCTGCACAGAGATATTTCCACAGTTTCCATGGAATTCAACAGGAAGCAAACACTCATACCTGAATGTTGTTTACTTCTTCCATTAGATTTTGGATTGAAGTGTATGTATGTATCTAAGGTTAAAATGCAGGAAGTCACATTGATATTCCTGAGCAAAACATATATATTAGAAATGTCACCCAGTTCTTGAAGAAGAAACGCAAGAATTTCCTAATAGGTATCAAAGAAGGTACAAAGCTGTTGGTCTGCTGGAGTAAGACAAAAAACTACTTTAAGCTAATAAAATAGCTTTCATTGCAGAACAAATTTAATCTGATAAAGAACTAATTCGTTTAAGACTCCAATTGATGGATAAACTGAGGCAGAGAGGTTAAACAACCTGACCTGAAGTATGCAGGTATGGACATGTGCGCCATGGTGGTGAAAACTTATGAGAAGGCTCTACTGACAGATACTGTAACTATTAGAAATGCAAGAATGGACAGAATTTATGGTGTTATAGAATATATAATGCCATGTCTTACGTTATGGCATAGAAATTAGTGATTTTAAATATTTCAGTTTGTGTATCTCTACCTTCTGAAAAGGAAATTAGCACCCGCCTTGCTAAAGAAAAGACCAGTACTCAGGATGTGTTTTGTAATATTGCATCAGAAAGACAGTATGTGCAATCGTGTGTGGTTTCTAGTTTGTTTGCCATGAAGAGTAAAGTCTTCCCCATTTTGAGAAAGGCTTGAGGATTGTCTTATTTTCTCAGCATCGCTGTGCATTAACAGATTATTGCAATTTGCTTTGATTCAAACTTTTCTGGGTTTGCCAGTCCCTCTTGTCTCATCTGGGAACCATGTTCCAGCTCGCTGCTCTCATGTGGCTTCACTACTAATAAAAAGGCTGTTGGGGTCCTCCATTAGTACCTGCTGATGAGGAAGATGCTCATGTCACCCAACACATCCTGCTAGCTCTGCTGTCACCAAAAGCTGCAAAGTCAAAATGTCTCCCACAGTCAGTTCAAGCATCTCTCTCTGACTCATCTGACCATAACTAGTTTTCCAAATGGTAATGACCTCACCTCTGAGGTGTAACCTGTCTTGATGTACAGGAAATGGGGCAGGATGTTCTGTGTGTCTTACTGCCTTTTAGTTGTAATTGTGCTCTAGATTCTTGCTGTTCAGTGTTGGCTCCTGCCTAAAATCCTGATCCAATTTTCTGCTTTCTAGACCTTGTCCTAGTTCCTCTTCCTACTGAGTGCGAGCTCCTAATGCTGCCCTTGATCTGTTCAGTCCTGGTTCCTACCTCTTGCTTCTTTCTTTTCCAGCCCTAGTTTCTGCTTTAAGTTAGCTTGCCTGACCTTGTTTCAGCTGTGACTGCTCCCCATGCTGAAGACACTTGCATACATTAAGACTAAAATTACAATGAGCCAAACCCGATCTTTGCTTAACCATGCAAACTTTAGTTTTCATGAGACTAAAACATACTCTGAGGACAGTGGCTTTAGTATTGTCTGATCAAGAAACAGATATGTAGAAATTCTAGTCCTGGTACCAAGGCAAGGTACTCACGAAGGCAAATCTCATCTTTGAGCAGATTATTACTGATTGAGTTACATGTGGTAGAGCCATAAATACAGTGATAAACTTGAAAAAAAAATTGTTTACACATTTCTAAGGATGCCTCTTCCATCTGCTGTCTGGCTACACTCCCCCATGCCCAAATGATAAAAATAAAAAAAGTCTCTTACACACTTCCCATAATGGGAAGGCAGAGCGATGCTTTCCCACGTTTCCAAAGAAGACTCAGTAACTTGCTAAGAAGGTTTCCTCATTTGTGCTACAGACTCTGAGTATACAAGTGATCAGAAATTATATTTGAGCAAGCTAAGCTGAGAATAGGTGTATGTAGGATATCCAGTTATAACAGGGCTCTTAACTGGATGTGTCCATCTGGTGGGTGTATTAAAATAATTAACAAGGGGAACTGATGTACGGAGTCTATTTAGCAGAGCATCACCTGGCCAAAAGCAGATTCCAACAGAGCTGTGGAAGAGGAGGGCAACGGCTGCAGTTTTCCCAGCTTGCTCTCCCAGTGCACAGCAATCTGAGGCTCTGGGTCATCTCCATTCAGAGGCTGTACCTTTCATTTTAGTAATTTGGTTTTTTCTTCTGTGAATTTGTCTCATAGCTTTTAAATTCATGTAAGTTCTTGGTATCCTTCACTTCTTGTGAGAACATGTTCCCTGATTTAACATTTAATTGCACGTAGCATCCCATTGATTTGTTCTGAACTGGCCTCTTGATAACTTAATTTTATGCCTTCTAATTCCTTTATTTTAAGAAATGGTGAGCAGTCATCCTTCGCTCACCTCCTTCGTACCACTACTATTGGACTGGATCTTAAGTTATCCCTTCTCATGGCTGAAAAGTTGGAGTTTCTTCATTCTTCCAATGAAGTGATTCCATGCATTTGGGTTCCTTCTTCGTAAGCCTCCTGGTTTTGTGACATCCAGATTGAGAAAGGCAAGCCAGAATTGCATATAGTGAGGAAAATACATCCATAGCAAGGATTTATGAAGTGGCACTGTGATGTTTACTAGTTTGTTCCCTACTCCTTTTCTACTGGTTCTTAAGATTATGTTTGCTTTTATGACTATTACTGAGCATACAGATGCTGTTTTCATATCAATGCCTACCACATCTCAAAGTTACTTCTTCTGGGTGGCATTAGCCATTTTGGAGCCCAGAATTTTCTATACAAAATTACTATTGCCTTTCCATTTATATATATTACTTGATATTGTACTGAATTTCATCTTTCAGCACCATAAGCACTGTTTGCAGCTCTTTGCAGAAAATTGTGACTTGAAAAACTTATTGCCATTGTCAAACTTTGGCATGGTACTATTTCACCCTTCTTCTCCATGAATATACTGAGCAGCGGAGGCCTTAGCAGAAAATTTTGTGGGACTTTCTGGTAACTTCCAAGAAAATAAACTTTAAATTCCAAAATACTATACAATAAATCCATATATTCATGTAGTCTATGATTTCTTTGGAGTCTTTATCAGTTTGTTCTGTATGAACATAAGACTTACTAGCTCTTTGGTTCACCTCATAAACCCTCCAAAAAATTGGGTCCCCTGTGCCATCTTCTATTCTTTTGGCACCACATCAGTTTGAAGTGAAAAGTTACACCTCAGACATCATCATGCAGACATTTCATTCTTTATTCCATTTGAACTCCTGGCTCTGGTCTTACTGACTTTGCCACTAACCATTTTATTGTTCTATAATCTCTTCTACTGACACATTGAGAAAATATAAGACAGTCTTTTATACATAATCCACAAAGAAGGGTTCTAATGCAGAACCCTCCACAAGTCTGTTCTTACAGATGCAAAGAATTCATTTTGGTTTCCTTCTGTGGTTTGATCTTCTGAGTGCTCATTCTGTACCTTGCTCATCTATTGGCTGTACAGATTTTCTGGAAG